GGTCCATTTTACGTGTCAGGCCCTGAGAATGAAAAATGTGCACCCTCCACTCCTGACAGGGAAAAGGCATGTGGCCACAAGTGCCCATCATAACAGGGGTGGACATCACCCAGCATCTGACAGTGGGAAGCTAGTTAAGGAAATTACAGGCTGTGCCACTGCCACCTGTACTTATTCAAAGTTAGGCTGTCAGTCACTCAGCAGAAATGTTCTGAGAACCTCCTGCATGTCAATGTTCATCTGCGCTCTGAGGAAAACTGCAGGAAATCTAGTGGCAGACAAAGATGGATGGATGGATGGATAAATGGATAGTTGGATAGGTGGATAAGTGGATAGGTAGTTAAATGATAGGCAGATACAGAGATAGAGATAGATGGATGAATGTATATATAAGTACGTGGATAAATGTATGGGTGCATGAGTCTATACTCATGGAGGGATAGATGGATTGATAGATGGATGGATGGATGGTGGGTAAGTGGGTAGATGGATGATAAATAGATACAGAGATACAGAGATAGATGATAAGGAGGAAGGAAGAGAGAGTAGGTAGATAGGTTCAGAGACAGATGACAGGGAAAGAGACACACACACTTGTAGCCACATGCATTTTTCCTGTCAGGCTAAAGACCTGCAAGTAGAATATGCACATTTTTTTAGTCAGGATCTGTTCTGCAAAATGGACTCCAGACACTCCTAAGGATTCTCAGGGTTCAGGGCAGTGTATCTTGGGGTCTATCTTAGCTTAGCCCAAAGGTCTGCAGATAGGTCAGACCTTTTAAAATTTCTGTTTATGCATTTTTAAAAGATGCTTCAACATGATATTTGATAGAGGTCATAGCTGGATGATAAGATGGGTGTTTTTTTAATGTGTAATTTCTAAGAATTTCCAAGATACTATATATGTATGTGTGCATATATATATAAATTAGCCATCTGTCCTGGCCAGAGTTTTGCTTTTTGTTTGTTTTGTTCAGGAACTAGGGCTTGAATTCAGAGCCTGGGTACTGTCCTTTAGGTTGGTACTCTACCACTTGAGCCACAGCAAGGATTTTCAGGCATGAGCCACCAGCCTCCAGCCTCTGGCTAGGACTTTTGACAACTAAAGAATTATCCTCTACCCCCCCCTTACCCCCAATAATTGATACTGAAGAAGTCCAGCATTCAGCCTAATCAAGCATGTCACAAATAAAGGGGAAGATTTGTTAATTGAATGTCATGTTATGTCCTCAGTTATGCTTAATAAGAGATAGGCAATTTAGAATTCCCAATTATCCAATTAAAATGCTAATTACCTCGTACCTTGATAAGGCATTTCTTGGAGAGAGGTGAACCGTGTCTCTCCGTTGCTTCTGTTCTCCTAGCCACAGTCTTTGCGGCTGCCCTTGGCTCAGGTTGGTCAGTTCTCCCCTTTGGGGATCCTGGGATCCCAGTGTCCTCTCCAAAGCAGGTTGCTTACCCACGCCCACCTGGGACCCTTCCCCCAGACTGAACAGAGTCCATTGTCCTTAGAGCTTCATTTTGGCTTAGCTCAGGCCCCTTGCCCAGCTGTGAGGTCAGGAGTCTATACACCGTTAGCCACATTTTGATGTACAGATCTCCTGCACCCTGACTGTGATGCCAGAGGTAGGCATCATTCCAGACCCAAGGCTCAGGAAACAAGCTGAGCCCTTGCTTAGGAACAGCAGAGGGGGGTTGAATAAAATGAGATGTTGAGGGCTGGGAAGGTGGCTTAGTGGTAGAGTGCTTGCCTTGCGTGCATGAGGCCCTGAGTTCAATTCCTCAGCACCACATAAGCAGAAAAAGCCAGAAGTGGCACTGTGGCTCAAGTGGTAGAGCGCTAACCTTGAGCTGAAGAGCTGAGGGACAGTGCCCAGGCCCAGAGTTCAGGGCCCATGACCGGCACAAATAAATAAATGAGGTGTTGAAGGCCACAGACAGCTTGTCTGGACCTGTGCCCTTCCCCAAACACTGGCATGTCCTGAAGATGATAACATTCGCCAGGCTCCTGTGGCTTACACCTGTAAATTCTTGCTACTCAGGAGGCTGAGACCTGAGGATAGTGGTTTGAAGCCTGCTTGGGCAGAAAAGTCCATGAGACTCATCTCCAATTAACTGCCAAAAAAACAAAAACAACAACAACAAACATTGGAAGTGTGGAGATATGGCACATGTAGTAGAGTGCTAGCCTTGAGCAAAACAGCTCCAGGGACAGTGCCCAGCCCCCAGAACCAGCATCAGAAGGGAAAATAAGACTGTAAGCTTTGCGCAGAGGCCTTGCACGCACAGCACATGGTTGCTCTGCATGGCTTCCTCACTGGGAAGTAGGAAAAAAATTCACTTCACCCAAAGGGTCATTTGAAATGTCAGATGCTTCTATGAGTAGCTGTTTGCTTTTTCTTATTGGTGGGACCATGAAGCCTACCTGTAGTCTCAGCCTGCCTGGCAGCAAGGCCTGGCTCAGTCCACAGGAATCTTAAGCCTGTATGCACCCACCCCCTGCCCCGTGCAAAAAAAACAGCATCACGGGCACTGGTAAAGGCTCCCTGACAGGAGCATTGGGGCAAATGTCCTGGGCCAGCAGTGGGGCTCAGGCCATGTAGAGCTGGGCCATGCAGGCCTGAGGGGCCCGGCCCCACATACCCAGCCACTGAGTTGGCAGGACCCTTGGAAAATGTCGGTGAGAAGTTGTTACCCTGGGCAGGCAGTTCCCAGGTCAAAGGCCAGAGCCAAGAAGTGGGAGGGGGGGAGGAGGAAGGGGGCTGCTCAACTACACATCACAGATGAACTGTGTCCCCCAGAAAGCCACGTGGGGGCACAGGTGGCCCTCTGCTCGCCCCTCTTGTACTCATCATGCACCCTCCGAGGTTTTGCATCTAATATTATAAGCTGGGCTCTGGGCCCAAGAACGGTCCACAAAATCTGGCTAGATTTGTGGGTTCCCCTGCCCCAGGGGGGAAGTCGTGCTGCCATTCTTGAAGATGTTTCCGCAGGTGCAGGCCTGGCTGTGTGCCGTGTTCCTGTTCCATTCACTTGATCATCTCCAGGCTGGGTCAAATGGATGCCTCGATTCAAGGCAGCCTCTGCCCCGGCCAGGCTATTGGAGTGAGGAAATGAAGGGGCCCGAGCAGCAGGGATGTAGCTGGCTGCTGGTTGGAACTTGGACCCATCCCTTCCCCTTCTACTGCTGAAGGAGGTGCCCCCCCCAGGACCAGGTCATTGCACCCCAGACCCCCCTCTTTTCAGAGAGCCCAAGGAGGCAGGGGCTAGCAATTACGCCAACATCGTATGTGTGTGAATCACAGTATCTAAGACTACCAGGTGTGTGGAGGTGACGACAGAACGTGTAACTGTCCTGCCTGCCCCTCTGTCTGCTCTCCTCTGATGGATAAACTTGTTTCTAGAAGTTTTAGAAGGTTCAAAGTCGGCCCCAGGCAGGAAAGTCTGTGAGACTCTTTTAACTCCAGTGAACCACTAGAAAACCAGAAGTAGAGCTGTGGCCCAAGTGGTAGAGCACTAGTCTTGAGTATAAAAAAAAAGCTCAGGGACAGCACCAAGGCTCTGAGTTCAAGTCCCACAACCCACAAATAAGTCTGTGCTGAGGGGAATATTGTGCTGCAGGCCAGCGCGCCAAGCCCAGCCAGGCCCTGCCTTTACAGAACACGTTTGTCATGTGCACATGCCAGTGGCACGGCTGCCCCTCTGCCTGTCCTTTCTGAACCCAGCCAATCACCGCACACCACGTGGTCATCTGTAGCTCACCTGTCCTATCACCTTGATCATGGCTATGTAGCCTTCAGAGATTTAGTTCTGCTGGGGCAAGACTTCCTATCCCGAAGCTACAAGAGCATGGTGGCTCTGAAGAGTGACTTGGGGACCAGTTCTGAAGCTGCCAGGGGGGCCCCTTCATGCAGGAGGGCTGGATGTGGGGGGTACTGGCCTCTACCCTCCAAACTCAGGGCTGTGACTGAGGGTCTTGGGCTGAGGCAAAAGGGGCAATTCTGCCTATTCTTTCACCATGAACACAGGGGATGGGGGGGGTACCTTATCTCCTGGAAACTCCTGAAATCCTTTGCATGGAGGAAATACTTCCCCTCCAGACACCCAATTAGCCTGTGAGGTTTCTAAGGCAAGTCTGAAAGTCGATTGAATCTGGCAGACTCGCTTCTGCATAACAACTACTTAATACCCAATCATCACAATTACACATAATTTGTGTTTACGGTGCCTGGAAGATTAAACTCCTCCGCACAAACGTTCTGCAGTGCAGCCCTAGAATGTGCAGGGCAGGCATGCCCACGGCTGCCTTTGGTGCTCTGTCCGTGGCTTGCCCTGGTGCCAGAGAAGGGTGTGGGGAGAGGTCTGGGGGAAAGGGCCCCGCACCAGCTCAGTTCTGCCAAAGCTGGGCATCTGGGGTGCAGCCTGGGCCCCTCACCCCTCAGAGCTTGTGCAAATCCAAGGTCCTGTAATCACAAGGCATGGGGTAAAGAGGCACAGAGGTGGAGCCACTCCAAAGCTCTGGGCAGTGCAGCCTTTCTGGGGTTCAGCACCCCAAGGTGGCCAGTCTAGCACATCAGATCCTGGAGCCACCATAGACCTACTAGCCTGCCTGCCCAGGGTGGCCGCGTAGCAGGGGTTAGGCTGGTTTGTGACTTCATCTTGCATCTGCAGAGGTCCAGCCCAGGACAGCATGGGGCCTGGATGGGGGTTGTGTTCTTGCTAAGGCAAGATGGTGGGCGATGGAGACACAGGAAAATCTCCAGCCTTACGGACACACAGACCTCTGGCTCTAGCCTGTCCCCCAGAGCTCGCTGTCCCAAACCCTAGGATCAGGACACTGCTGGGGCAGCCAGGGTGGTGAGCTCCCTGGCACAGGGCTATGTCTTGGACTTCCTGGATGCATAGCAGAGCCAGACCTGAGCTGTGGATTTTCACTGGAGATTAGGCCCATGCACCTCTGGGGACTGCCTAACCTATTTCTCCCCCCCCTACCCCCGCAGCCTGTTCCAACATTACTGCTACTCTCGGGGTGGCATGCGTCACACCTCCTACACCTGCATCTGCTGTAGGTAAGTGTGCCCAGGTGTCTTGGGTGGGAGTGTTGGGGTGAGGGGGGCGGGGTAAAGGGCTGGGGATAGGGAGCTCACTTGCCCACACCAGTGCCTGGCACCCAAACCTAGAGGTCATACTTACCCCTAAAGCCCTAGGACCAGGTTGTCCCTGGGCCACACAAACCAGGGAGCCCAGCTTATGTCATCCTGTCCCCTTCCAGGGCTCCCATTAGGAGCTTGAGATTGTGGCTTTGTGTGTAACTGTGATGGGGCATGGGGACTAGGGTTTATGTCCTTGTGTGTGTGTGTGTGTGTGAGACTCTGGTGCAGCAGTACAAGGACCATTGGGTCACAGCTCCGGCAGGAGACGATCACCAACTGCAGGAGGCTGCAGGGATTCCAAGTAGGTGTGGGTGGCACCTGCACATGGCTGAGCATGCTGGTAAAAATGGCCCCGAGTGCTGCGTTCCCCTCTGGAGTTTGCATAGCTGCGTGGGTGCCTGGCGGCATGTGTCGCTATGCGCTGCGACCTCCCACCCCTAGGTGGTCCCCTGGCCTCTGGAACTCACCCCAGCTAGCCTGGCCCCCAGGCCCCGCCAGGCTCTGCCCCTCGAGTCTGCCCCCTGCCCAGCCAGGAAGAGCTGGACAGCGCCCGCTGATGTACACGTCCTCCCACATAAGTAATACATTTGAACACCTCAGTTCTTGGAAATGCGCTTCTCTGGTGGATAGCGAGGGGAAAAAAATCATTATTTCTACTTTTATGATTCCCAAGACTCCCAAATGGGGCCATAAATATTATACCCAGGTGTTGTTTGTTTGTTTTTTCTCTTCCTTTGGACACTCAACAGTTCTTTTTTCTTAAAGATATCGCACCAGGCCAGGGGCTGATGACTCACACCTGTCATCCTAGCTGCTCAGGAGGCTGAGATCTGAGGATCACAGTGCGAAGCCAGCCCGGGCAAGAAAGTCTGTGAGACTTGTATCTCCAACAAACCACCAGAAAACCAGAAGTGGCGCTGTGGTTCAAAGTGATAGAGCCTTGAGTGAAATCAGGGACACTGCTTAGGCCCTGAGTTCAAGCCCCATGACTGACCAAAAAGAAAAAAGAAAAGATGGTGCTCTGTGGGGCAGCTCCATAGAGCAGAGGGTCAAACTACCACCAGCTTCCTGTCTTCCAGCCCCAGCCAAGGATCCAAAGTGGATCCTGAGACCACCCATGGGGGACCATCCTGGGGAGCCCCTCACCCTTCATGAGGGGGCTCCTTGGGGCCGTTTTTCGGGCCCACGTAGTATGATTCCCCATTTCTGTTCTTTGCATGTGCTGTCCACACCCCCAGCCCAGAGGGCAAAGTCGTGCCCAGGTTGATCTGCAGGGGGCACTGTTGCTGCTGCCTCCAGCTGTGGCTGGCCTGGGGGGGGGGCTCCCCCCCAGGCTGTAGGCCTTACCCAGCCGCCCTCCTGGCCTCTCCTGGAAAGTGGATGGCTTTGACAACCTCTCTTATCTCTTCCCAGTGGTGAGAATGCCGCTGTGCTGCACTACGGACACGCTGGAGCCCCCAATGACCGTACAATTCAGGACGGAGACATGTGGTAAGTCAAGGCAGGCTCCACTGCCGCTGTTGCTGCCACCCAACTCTGCTCTGAATGTGAACAGCCCAGCCAAGGTTAGACACTTAGCATCAAGGTCAACCAAGAGAGCTGAGCACAGCCCAGACTTCCTAGTCTCAGCCACTGGTCTGTATGGTGCCTTCTTTGGGGCCAAAAGCCTGCACCCTACAAATAAGCTGAAGGGGGTACAGGACAGGGCGCCTCTGAGCTTTTCTGTGGGGCTATAAGATGGTGATCTTTCTGTCTCCCAGGCTGGATACTCCCTCCAGTGAGGTCTACATTTCCAGTCTTGTGTATCAGTGCTGAGAGATCCCCCTTCCCCCAGTTCCCCAAACCTGCTAGCCTCAGCCACAGCCCCATGGCGGGCACCACCATTGTGCTATCAAGTTCAAGGAGGGAGGTATCAGGTGGGCTTCTGGGTGTAATCAGCCCTCGTGGAGGGTATGATGAGGTAGAGTGGGCAGAGCCCCAACCTGCACCTCCTCAAGATGGCGATTCTGCTCCCAGATCTCTGACACAGAGCGTGGAACACGCTGGGGTGCCATCCCGAAGCCTGGGGAGGGATCTCTGGGCACCCATGCATACAGTCCCTCTCACAGTTACTGAGTGTCCCCTGCCTTTCATCTCCACTGTCCTGACACTCGCCAGAGCCAGCCAAGCCAGGCCACCTCTGCCTCAGATCTAGGGTGTCTTTTTAATCCATGGCTGATGTCCTGAACAAGGCCCAATGTAGCCCTGCCCCTCGTTTGTTTGTTTGGTTTTTTTTTTTTACCTTGTCATTACAGGGTCAAAGGTGACCCAGAAGGACAGGTCACAGAAACCCAATCTCAGGGAAACTGAGGCAGATGCAGCCACATCAGCAGATCCTTCCTGTCCTGGGAGCAGCTGTGGCTGGCTAGAGGACTCCTTCCCACAGCATCCCCCCAGGGAAATCAGTTGCCCTTCCTCTCCCCTCAGCTGCCCCCAGCAGGGGTCCTCACTCCATAAAAGGCTGGCCTTAGCTGTAGTCCCTGAAGGACAGGGGTCTGGACCAAGGTCCTGTGTATATCAGACCTCCACACATGGCCCAGGTGCTGTGGCCTCGGCCCACGTGGGCAGTGCGTGGCACCTGTGTCTCCCAGTGCAGCTGTAAGTAGCAATGACTCGAGGAAGCCCACTGGTGCTCATGCCAAACTCAAATTGGTGATTTTGTTTTTCTAGTGTAACTTTGAAATGTAGCCAGTAGAATAATTATGAGTCTATTATAGTCAATTTATTATGCAGCATTTAGAACAACATGTTTTGTTGATTACTGCCACTGCCAGATTGCTGGCGGCATTTATAATCCATTGTTTTATTGAAATGGATCTGCCGAGCGCCCTACTGCGTTCAGTAAATAATAAATCATTCCGCTATCCCAACATAAAAGGCACAACACTTCACCGTAAGGTATGAAACCGGAATACAGTGTCACATGGAGTTCTTCAGAAGCCAGGGGCCTCCCAGGGTGGGGGGGATATGTTTCAGGCACACGCCCCAGCAGGGCACCTGGGGTCCCAGCCTTTGATTAGGTAACAATGCCCCAGAGAGATTTTATGTCTGTAATAAAGCTGTTACAGTATCAGAACTGGTTCTGAGCATTCTGGGAAAGGGTGCTAAGGGACACCAGTCCTTCCCCTCCATCTCTCCCAAACCTCAGGTATGGCTAAGGTTGTGGAGCTTTGTTGTTGTTGTTGTTGTTTTGTGCTGGTCCTGGGATTTGAACTCAGGGCATGTGTGTTTTTCCTCAGCTTTTTTTTTTTGAGGGGGGGGGTCAGGTCCTGGGGCCTGAACTCTGGGCCTGGGCTCTGTCCCTCAGCTCTTCAGCTCAAGGCTAGCACTCTACCACTTGAGCCACAGCACCACTTCTGGCTTTTTTCTTTTTGCTTATGTGGTGCTGAGGAATCGAACCCAGGGCTTCCTGCATGCAAGGCAAGCGCTCTACCACTGAGCCACCTTCCCAGCTTTTTTGTTCAAGCCTGGCACTCTACCACTTGAGCCACAGCTTCACTTCTAGCTTTTTTGTGTGTGCTTAATTGGACATAAGGTTCTCATGGCGTTTGCTTCCCCAGGCTGGCTTTGAACCGCAATCCTCAGATCTCAGCCCCCTGAATAGCTAGGATGACAGCCACCAGGCTAAGGGTTGTGGTTTAAATGATAGTCTCTGCCTGGCAAGCTTAACGCCCTAAGTTCAAATCCCAGTTCCACTGAAATCTCAGGTATGGGCAGCCCTCCCACCTCAGTGTGCGCACACGCATGCGCACGCGCACACACACACACACACACACACACACACACACACACAGCCTGAGCTCAGAGGGTTGCCCTCCATAGCTGAGCACCCACCCTTCCTGGGTCATAGACCACCCAGCTCCAGAGACACTTGGGGGGAGTAAGTACAAAATAGCAAAGCCAGGCTGCCCTTAAAAACTCTCCATCGTCCTTCCTCAAACTCCCAACTGCTGGGATTACAGGCATGCATCACCACAGACATTTTAGCCCTGGCAAGAATGCTGGGTAGGACTTGAAGAAGGCTGTGCCCGCTCTCCCACCTTCTCATCTTCCTGCAGCAGGGCCTCTGTGGAGCTGGACAGGCCACCTCTCAGCCCCTCTGTCAACTTTCATCCGCCACTGTCCTCACCCACAGGGCCCAGGACATTGGACACACTGGTCCCGACTGCAGGTTAAGCTTATGATCCAAGGACAGAGTATTTCAAGGCCGTCCCTCACCCTAAGCTGATGGCCCCTTGCCAGGGCCAGATCCCAACCCAGGGGGCAACAGGACCTAGTGTGGTTCAAAGCCCCGGGGTCCTCCCTCAGCCCAGCCAGAACTGTGAGGCCATGTACAGGGCCTATGATCTTCATGCCTGGGGGGGGGGTCTCTCTTGGCTTCCAGAGCTTTCTGTTATGTCCTGGCATTGCCTCATGAAGCCCACAGCAGGTCACTGTCCCCGGGCAAGCATCAGCTGCTTTGCATTTTCCTTTTTATTAAGGCAAGCAAAGCAGGGCGTCTCAAACGGGGCTCCCGAGTGCGGGGCTCTCACTCAAATGCCTCCCATGTGCCCGCTCACAGGATGGGGTCTGACAAGGTCACTGGGGGCCCCCTGCAGCCAGTTCCAAACAGGGGGTGGGGGTGGGCCCCCCCTCCCACTAGGTCATCTTTGAGAGCCCTTGGGTGTCTAGAGGCACCAAGGACTGGCAAGCTGGACCTGGGTGACCCTGGAATGTCAGTGCCCATGTCTAAATCCTGGGAACAAGGGCACCCCTGGACAGGACAGTCTATGCGCCCCCCTGAGCCCTGGGCAGGCACCCCTTTTCAGGATAGGAACTGCCGTCAAGGTTAGGGGAGGCCCAAGATGTGGCCTCAGCAAGCTCTAATTTGGGACACCCCTCTTCACCAACTTGCGTCCTGTCTCTTCCACCACCAAATCAGCCTCCGCACTCCCCAGCCTCCGAAACTTCTAGAACACAGGTCCAAGGAGGCCCCAGACCTGGGTTGCCTAAGCTGTAGGCTGGAGGTAACTGGTGTGGTCATGAGCTGAATATTCCAGCACTGGCCAGAAGAGGGCAGTGTTGTCTCAGGACGTGGCTGGGCCTCGTCCTGGTAGTGATGGGTATGATATCCTGCCCTCACCCCCGCCCTAGGAGGACCTGCAGCCCCATCCCTAGCTCAGCCACCTGCCAATCCCCTCCCCTCATTTCCTGCCATGACTCCAGCCTTGTCTGCCTGATCCACAGAAATGGAGCTCCTGTTTGCCTTCTTTTTTTTCTTTCGTGTCAGTACTGGGACTTGAACTTAGGACTTGGCTCTTACTTTTTCCACTCAAGGCAGGTGTTCTACCACGGAAGCCACAGCTCTATTTCTGCTTGATTAGAGAGGAGTTCCCCTTCTCTCCCCTCCCTGCCTTCCGCCTCGCTTCAAACTTCCATCCTCAGATCTCAGCCTCCGGAGTAACTAGGATTTACAGATGTGAGCCCCCTGGTGCCTGGTGGATTTTGTAATTTTCAGGACATGCCAGGCTCTGGGGCAGGGCACAGCTCTGGTTAGCTCGGTCCAGACAAACTGTCTACGGCCTTCAGCACCTCACTTTATTTACCCCCCCCCCCGACCTCCACCATTCCCGAGCTTGTCACCTTCCCCATGTGTTTGCTTTTCCTGTGCACTGGGTCAGGGCTGTGTAGCCACACCCGCTCGGTGGACGTCTGGAGTCACAGTTTTGAGAAGTGCTTGTCTAGACGGTCTGGGTGCTCCCGAACATCACAAGACACTAGTCACCAGAAAAGTGAAATGGAGCATGTGACTCCCCCCCGCCACCCACCCACCCACAGCAGCCACAGCCCTGATGCCCAGCCTGGGCTGTGGGGCCTTAGACGTGGCAACAGGCCCTTGGGGGAAGCAACCTCTGGGGGCCACCACTCTGGCCAGGGTTGTGATGACTGGGGTGCTCTTCCCGGCGCATGTCACCCATCTCAGTGTCATTCCAGGACACTGGTAAAGATGATTCTCTCCAGAAATCAGGTCCCCAGCACGGGACTGTTCTTATCACTGTGTGTATCGCTGGACAGGAAGCTGCTGCTGATAGGGGCAGCAGGGTGGCTATTCCTATTTCCCCAGGTCTTACTGGACCTAGGCAGATCCTGGGGAGGAGTTCACCTGATTAGGGTCAGCTCGCTGCAATCCATAGATACAAGTGACCCCCCCTCCCCTGTGGGCTTTCTACCTCCTGCTGAGATCTGGGAGAAGTCAGAAAACCCCACCCCAGCCTAGAACACAAACGAATGTCAGCGCTAAACAGTTTTGCATTGCTTCTGCTGTTCTGGACACACGCGTGTGTGAGACGTCAGTGTTGGGTGAGAAGCGGCTAAGAGTCAACGCCTTATGCTCAGTTGGTTAAAACAAAGCTACAAGCCAGAGGACAAAGCAGCCCTTGTATTTAAAACAAAACAAAACAAAACAAATGGCAGCATTTCTCTGGGAGGCCTTCTGCCTGTGGGCTGGCCCGTCCCTGCAGGGGGTGATGGGTGCTGAGGGAGGGGAGAGGGGGAGACCCGGGGAGGGTCTGGGTGGGCCAATCGTGGCAGGTAGCCCAGGCCAAAAGCTTCCCGGAAGAGCCTGTCATCTCAGCCAGAAATACAGTTTGTAGGAACACACGCTGGGGGCGGGGCGGGGGGGGGGGATCGAGACTCCAGCATATTGCTGGGCGACATGTGAGCCTCTTCCCCAGATGTCTCAAATTATGACACACATCCTCTCGGCCAGCGATGGGTAGTGTCCCTGGTGGGTGTCCCCAGGCAGCCAGAAAAGAAGGGATCTTGCGTTTTTTCCCTGAGCCAAGCATGATGGAATTCTCCATTGTCACTCTGCCTGCAGAGGATCGCTGGAGCCAGTAGACAGGAGTGCGGGGAGATGATTTATAAACACCATGGCTTTTGTCCCTAGATTCCAAGTGTCCTGAATCAGAATCACTTACGTGTGAAGAAACTCGGAGGGAGATTTCAAACAAGACAAAAAAAGATAGGGAACTGAGAACCCAAAAATAGACTCAAGCCCTGGCCCGAGTGTCACTGAGCCAGGATGAAGCTGACGGGGCTGGGTCCGAACTTCCTTCTCCAGGACATGGATGGTTAAAAAAAATAATACCAACAACAACAACAAAAGGCAACTGAAGCTGGGTACTCGTGGCTCACGCCTGTCATCCTAGCTATTCTGGAGGCTGAGATCTGGGGATCCCAGTTTGAAGTCTGCCTGGGTAGCAAAGTCTGTAAGACTCTTACCTCCAATTAACTAACAGAAGGCTGGAAGTAGAGCTTAAGTGACAGAGCATTAGCTGTGACCCGAAAAGCTCAGGGACAGCACCCAGGTCCTGAGTTCAAGCCTCAGGACACACACACACACACACACACACACACACACACGGCTGAGATCTTGGATGTAAAGGCTGAAAAAATCCAAGCACACCCCACGCTACATTTTCTTACTGAGAAAGGTTTGAACTTGGGTCAGTCTGATCTGTACCTGATGTGTCTTATTTTGTGCTGTTCTAGGTGAGTCCAATATTTGGTGTGTTCTGTAGGCTACCTGATTTAAAGAAAAAAAAAGTTCCCAATTTCTGGTCTTTTAGATCAGCGTAGTGAGATAGAGCTTTGTGTTCCCAAAGAATCTAACACTCTCCCCCCTCCCTCCCTCTTCTCTCTCTCTCCTGGCTCTGTCCTGTCTGCCCAGGCCATTCTTGGATGTTCTAAACCATCAAACCACAGAGAATTTTCCTTTGTTGACTCTAGGGAGCCCAAATGAGAACGTTCTGCTTTCCCAGGCAAAACTAGGCCAAGACCCCTAGTGCAGCCCTGTCTCCACTGCGGCCTGGCCCTGAGAGGACACATACCAGCCACTAGGGGCAGTGTCCCCATTTTAAAGATGGCAAAGCTGAGGCCCCAGAGGCTGAAGGCCAGAGCCAGGATGAGAGCTCATAGCTGGGCTCTGAGTGGCTTCTCTTCCCTGCAGCTGTAGGCATTGCTAGACCCATGTTCAGAGCCTCAGTTTCTCTTCAGTTTCAGGCTTAGCTATGTCCCACCCTTTGGTCCACTTTTAGGGGCTAATACCGCATGTGGGAGCAAATGTATGGACAGCTTCTGGCCCTAGGCAGGTGCCTGGCCGTGTGTGCTTTAGAGTCTGTTTCCTTGTATAACTGAGCTGTGGTGAGTCACACGCAACTGAGGCCAGGTCCCCCTGGATCTGCTTCAAATAAGGTCTCCCCTGCTCCCCCAAGACTTTGACCCAACCCCAGCCTCCCTGTCCTGCTAGTGGGGGCACTGAGAGTCACCTGAGGTGTTATCTGTGCACTGTTGACACTGCCCAGGGTATTGTGCAATCAGAAAAGACAGGAGATAACCGAGTGCCCCGAGGAGGACTTTGGAGTTCAGCAAAGTGTCTGGGGAGCCTAAACACCGGCGCTCTACCTTTCCGACCTGCTGCTCTGGTGTGGCTGCTGCCGCTGCTAGCTGGCCACGTGGCCACCGTCCCGCTCCTCCTCGCACTCCGCCAGAGTCCCACCCCTTACCCCAGAGGCCAGCACACAGGCAGCTTCTGGAATGCCTGTGGTTTTCCCTGCAGTTGGATTTGGGTGAGAGGCCCTTGTAAAAGAAGCCACAGCGGTGCCCAGGGGCTCGGCTTGGCCAGGATATGTGGCTGCAGAGGGACCCCCAGGGGAAACCCAAGCCGGAGCCGGACTCCAAGCAGAGCAGGGCTCAGCCAGTGCGAGCAGGCAGGTCCCACCTCGCGTCTGCCTGAGCACGCCGGTGGGACAACCCCCCCCCCCTCCGCCAATAGAGGCTGGACCACCATCCACTAGCCATTTGGGTCCCATCAGTATCAGGACTCGACCATGATCCCTTCAAAGGACTGGGTGGGCTGCTTAGGGCCCCTCCCCCATCCTTGCTGAGATGGGTGGGGGGCTGCACCCAGGCCCCACCCTGGCCTGCTTGGGGAACTGCAGGCTGCTCTGTGCCCCATCTCATTCGCCACAGAATGAGCAGGGCAAGATTCCTAATCTGAAGGCGGGCATTGGTAATCTTTAGCTACTCAGGAGGCTGAGAGCTGAGGATTGAGATGCAAAGCCAGCCCAGGCCAAAAAGTCAGTGAGAATCTTACCTCCAATAAAACAGCCAAAAAAACCCAGAAGTAGAATTGTGGTTCAAGTGGTAGAGCACCAGCACTGAGCAAAAAGAAAGCTAAGCTAAGAGATAGATAGAACCCTAGTCCTGAGTTCAAATTCCAGCACTGGTGCCAAGAATTAAAAGGATTCTTTCATTTGAAATTTTTATATTTTCTTGTTACTCTAAAGGTGATGGACAGAGGGGTTATAGTTACATGTCAGGTAATGAGGACATTTCTTTTTGGACAGTGTCAGTCACCCTTTCCCTTGCTCTCTCCCGGTTTTTCTGGCTGGGAAGGTGGCTCAGTGGTAGAGCGCTTGCCTTGCATGCATGAGGCCCTGGGTTCCATTCCTCAACACCACATAAGCAGAAAAACCGGAAGTGGTGCTGTGGTCAAGTGGTAGAGAGCTAGCCTTGAGCTGAAGAGCTGAACTGAGGGACAGCGCCCAGGCCAAGAGTTCAGGCCCCATGCCTGGCAAAAAAAAATTAAAGAAGGGGGGATTCTTATCTGCCCTTGACCAGAGGACCATCAACCTCTGCTGTGCCAGGGGCCCTGTCATGGGGTGTCCAGAGGGGTGGTTCCATTACCATCCTGACTCAGCAGCCGTGGCTGGCTTCCCCATTGCCCTGCCTCTGCTGGCTCCTGGGCCTCTCCCATCCTCCCTCCCACACATCCCTCCTACCACGCATGCTCACATGCTCCCTTCTGTCTGCCTGGCTCCCTCTGAACTGGGCAAGGGGGTCAGGGGGCAGCACCAGCCAGCCAGGCCCTGGCAAAGCCTCAATGGGCCTGAGGTGACCTTTCTCAGACCCTGGAGGACAAGGGTGTCCCACCTCGGGGAGAGATGTCAAGGTTCCCCCCTCTGGGGGGCCCCAAGCTAGACCAGCACCAGAGATACCAGCCAGACACTCCACGTGTGTGTGGGCAACAGATACTGCAGCTCAGTCCGTGTTGTCTGCTGGGCCCTGTGCAAACTTCCCAGGCTCCTGCCAGCTCCTTCTTCCTTCCCTCTGTCTGTGAGCACTGCCTCGGCCTGGCCAGGTACATGGCAGACCTGGAGGGCCATCTTCTTATATAGGCAGATAGCACCTGTCCGCCCTTCCTGATTCTCCAAATGAGGCCTGACAGAAGAGCTACCGAGGCCAGGCCAGGGAAGGTGACCTCAGCCCCCTTGGCCTGCCCTGGGACTGGCAAGAGCCCTGTACCACCCTCACTCCTGAGGACAGATGGAGGTCTTTCAGGATGGCCCCTTTGCTCCTCACACCCCATGGGGCCAGGGGGGGGGAGCCATAGGATTGAACTGCCTTCGCTGTTCACATCTCCAGATGGGGCGGCCTCCGCCCCCTCCATACGCCAGGCCCAGGAAAGTTGCCCTGGAGTGTGAGGGGCGAAGGAAGTGGGAGGAGTGAGGGGTAGCTGGTGCCCTTGAGTAACCCTCCCCACCCCCCACTTCTTGCTCTCTTTTCCCCCACAGCTTGTTTGACATGGGTGGAGAGTATTACTGCTTCGCTTCGGACATCACCTGTTCCTTTCCTGCCAACGGCAAGTTCACTGAGGACCAAAAGGCCATCTACAATGCGGTGCTGCGGAGCTGCCGGGCTGTCATGAGCACCATGAAGCCAGGTGAGGAGCAGGCGAGGGGAGCTAGCCAGAACCTGGCTAGGGGAAGCACTAAGGCACTGTGGCTGCTCGAAGTGGTCCTGCCTTCTGTGGTTCACATCTCTTCCCCATCATGGACCCAGTGAGATCCCTGATGGCTTCAGATCCTCTGGGTCACTCCTAGAACTGCAGGGCTGGCCACCAGTCAGACACGGCCCCTGAGCCAGGCGCCAGTGGCTCATGCCTGTAAATCTAGCTGCTCAGGAGGCTGAGATCTAAGGGTCACAGTTCAAAGCAAATTTGGGCAGGAAAGCCCTTGAGACTTATCTCCAATTTTAAAAAGCACCCAAAAAAGCTGGAAGTGGAGCTGCGGCTCAAGTGATAGAGCATTACCCTTGAACAAAAAAAAAAAAAGCTCAGGGACAGCACCTAGGTCCTGAGGTCAAACTCCGGGACCAGCACATACACACACAAAAGCAGTACCTGGGACCTGATTGCTTGACCCCCATGTCACATCTGGCCACCTCTAAGCACATCCCTCTACCTACAGCCATCACTGGGATACCAGCATGTCCCCAGACCTGTCCCAAAGCAGAGCCCACCTCAGGGAAAGCCTGGCCAGCTTTGGATGCTGGCATCTGGTTAGACTCTAGGCAGGAAGCTTCTCCCCTGGATGGCTCTTTTCTCATCTGTATGCAGCCTAGAGAAACTGAGCCGAATGATGCTGCCTGGCACTTAAGTTCTCTGTGGTGGTCATTTGTCCCAGCTGCCAAGGTGGAAATGAGTCTCAGCCCAGACCCCACTCTCTCAATAGGTAGCTAGGAGCCAGCTTGTTTCTTGTCCTCTGGCCTTTAGTATCCAGCTTCCACTGGTGTACACCCTCCCCCCCGGCCCACATAGGTGCCATGACCCTTAACATTCCTGCATGGTGGGGGGTCACACCAGCAGTGTCCCTCCAGCAGGGCTAGATTCTGGCCTGCTTCAGGGACCTTAGGTCCATCAGGCTGAGATGTGGGGTCCAGGCGTGAAGGGGGTGGGTAGGGGATAAGGCCTTGTCTTCATGACAACGCATGTATCCTGAAAGCCTTGGCTTCCTTATAGCCTGAGCATGGCTTTACCCTAAGCCCACTGGGGACAAACGTGGCTCCTAGGCCCCCCTGGCCATGCTTAATGCTCAGCTTGGCTGCTCTGGTGGGGACAACTTCCGCCTCTCCCCATGCATACCAGTCCCACCGAGACACAGCCATTGGGTGCTGTCACAGATCCACAGATGTGGGAAAGGATGGTCAGGCAGGGCCGGAACAGAGACAGTCTGAGATTTAGGGTTCACCCGAGCTGGGGGAGGGCTCCCCTTTCTACCTGGAGTCATCCGGCTGGGGTCAGATACATCCCCACTGCACTCTTCTGCCCAGAACCTACCAAAAGTTTGAAAGCCAGGAGCACCTGGTGACACCCGCCTTTGCTTCCTGTCTCCTCTGGGCCCTAAGGCGGGTTGGAGAGAGGCCAAGCACCCTCCATAAGCCATATGGAGGTCTCTGCTTCAGAAGAGAGAACACCATGGGGCCCCAAAGTAGAGAGGCCCTTGATCGAGACAGCCCTAGGCCTGGCTCAACTCAGCTGCCTGCTTGCATGCCTCTGCAGCCCTTCAGTCTTCTCAGGTCCCCAACTGGCCCCAAGCCCAGGGCCATGCCAGGAGGGCTCAGCTAGCCCTGTCCCTGGCATCTGCCCTTTGCTGAAAGGCCAGCACAGTGCTGGCTGTGTCCAAGTCTCTCTTCATGTTCTGGGTCCCCTTGGGGCCCTGGGCTGAAGGCTGGACATGGAGTTCCTAAGCGGCGGAACTGTGGTGGCTCTGTGGAACCTTGATTTTAAAAAAGAAGATCCTGAGCCCCAGGACTGTAAAGCCCCAGGATGTGGCCTCTGGCCTCCAGAACTTGCTGGCTCAGCATTTGGCCGCCCAGCCCTTGTGGCCCCACAGCCACAAGCGTAGGCCAAAGTGCTGGTTTGCAGGGGACCTCAGATCTGTCATCTCCAGAGGTGGCACAGTGTGGGCAGGCCTTTATGTGTGGCCCTGGTTTCATCCCCAGGTTCCCCACAGAAGCTAAAGAGCTGACAGGGGAGACAGCAGGGGCGGGGGGGGGGGGGGGGGGGGGAGAAGGGGAGGAGGGCGGGGGGGGGAGGAGGGGAGGGGGGCAGGGAGTACTGGGGACAGGAGGCAATGCGAGGCCCAGGCCACAGCCCACAGCCCCGGAATCAGAGTGTGCATGACAGGCAAGTTCAAGAACAGGAACTCAGACCTGCCCTGAAAGGAAGATAAAAGAGGAAATCCTGAGATTAAACATGCTCCTGAGGGGTACAGCTGCAGAGCAGCAGCATCTCAGGTGGGTCACCCTCTTTAAAAATGGCAGTGCAGCTGGGTGCAGACACTCAACACCTGTAATCCTAGCTTCTCAGGAGGCTGAGCTCTGAGAATCAGGTTTAAAGCCAACCTGGGGAGAAAGATCTGTGAGACTGTTATTCTGTGCAAGAAAAAAAGCTGGAAGTGGAGCTGTGGCTCAAGTGGTAGAGCACCAGACTTGAGTGAAAAAGATAAGGGCTGGCGCCTAGCCCCTGAGTTCAAGCACCAAGTGGGGAGGGGGAAGTAGGAGTAGCATAGTGTTTATAGGAGCAGTCCCCAGGACATACGCTGGGGACAACAGACCCTCACAGGTGGGCACAACCCCAAGTCACAACCCATGCACAAGAAGAAAGAGCCAGAACCTGGATGTTCATGTGCTGGTCTGTGCGTGATGCCAGAAGGTGACAGAGTTGGGACCATGTGCAGTGTGTTAGGGACCTTTGCATTCTTTCTTACCTTCATTTTGTGCCTGTCCTGAACCCAGATTCCTGGATGCTGTCCCTGAGCTTTTTTGCTCAAGACTAGGGCCCTATCACTTCAGTAACAGATCCACTTCTAGCTTTTTGGTAGGTAGTTCATTGGAGGTAAGTCTCAGAGGCTTTCCTGCCTGGGCTGGCTTTGAACCACGATCCTCAAATGTCAGCATCCTAAGTAGCTAGAATGACAGGTATGAGCCACTGGAGCCCAGCTCACAGGTGCTATTTGGAGGGAAGTTTGGCGGCTGGCTTTGGGAAGCTGGAGTCTCTCTCTGGTCCTCTGCTAGTTTCAAAATGCCAGGCTTTAGTGACTGGCCTCGCTCATACCTGGCCGCATTGAGCCTGGGAGCCAGGCCCTGGCTGTAAGAAACATGCTGGGGCTTGGGCAAGAGCTCCATGGCACCTCTATATAGGTGGTCTCCTGGCTGGCACAAAGACCCTGTCTAGCAACCCCCACAAAATGGCCAGGCCCTTGGCCCCCTCTGCACTAAGGAAGATGGAGGACACCGGATCCCCTCACTCCTGGGACCTAGCATTAGACCTAGCTGTAGCAACAACCGAGCTCAAATGAGCCAGTCCCTGCAGATATCTGAGGTGCTCCCTACTTGTGGGCTTCTCTGCTGGCCCAGGGAGCCTGTTGCTGGGCCTTGATGCTGCTTCTGAGGAGTAGCGGGGCGGGGGGGGGGGGGAAGAGCCCTCTACTGTACCCCACACTGAACCACCTGTGCTGCCAAAGCGTGGCTTCTTGAGGTCCCCCAGGGCACAGCCAGACTCCATCTGATCACAGGGCCGGGGGTCAGGAGGCCTATGCCCACAGCTGTTGTCCAGCTGTTGGAGTCTTGTTGTCACCCCATAGCACGGAGGTGGCCATGGCCAGCAACCCCCTGCCCGTCCCCTCGGAAGCACCCTCCTCCCCCGTATGTGGGCCCAGCAACTGGGCCAAGATAAACACCCTGCTGAGACTGGCAGGCTGCTTCCTGTGACCCTCCAGGGAAATGTAAATAAAAGCAAGCAGGAAGTCACAGAGCAGCGCCCAGGGGAGAGGCAGAAATGAAAATGATCAGAATACAAAATAGGGCGGGCGGGGGCGGGGGTGTTGAATGCAGGCTGGGTGGGCACAGGGAGAATGTCCTTCCTGTTGGGCTGAGCCTGGCCAGATGAGGCGCTGGTGAGCAGAAAGGGGGCTGGCCAGGCTGCAGCTGCAGTACCCGGGAATGCTCCCTCCCCGCCGCCTCCCCCCCACCCATGGGCACTGGCTTCTAGCCAGGTTGAATCCAAGGTCATGCTGCTTTAGTGTCAGGGAGACCATGCCACCCCAGCCATTGAGGGGAGCTGGGAAGTCCCCCATCCAGCAGAGTGAGCCGAGCCCCATGTCCGAGCCAGCCACAGCTGCGCGGCCATCCCTAGAAGCCCTGCCACCGTGTGGCCTACACCGAGGTCCCCACATGCCACCTGCGAACACCCAAGCCTCCCAGCTACCCCATGCCTGGCACCCAGAGCATCCCCTCCGCCCCGGCCCCCATCCTTGCTGCCACCCAGGTCAGTGCCACATAAGGCTTCTTTCTTTTTTGTGTGGGTCCCTTGGCTAACTCTACTGTTTGAACCACAGCTCTAATTCTGGCTTTTGGTGGTTAAATGGAGGTAAGAGTCTCCGACTTTCCTGCCCAAGCTGGATTCGAACCTCCATCCTCAGATCTCAGTGTCCTGAGTAGCTGGGATGGCAGGCGTGAGGCACCCACGGCACCTGGCTACCCATGTAGTTTGGTGCGACATTCAGCACCCCTCTGTCCCTGCCCATGTGAAGTCAGAGGAGGAGACCCCAGAATTGGCCTGTTGTGGGGGGTTGGGCAGCAGCGCCTGTCTTCTGTGGACCTAGGTGGGTCACCTTTCCTGGCGACCCAGGCAGGAGCGCCTGGCTGCATTTTCCACTGGCTGTCCCCATTAAGAGTCAGTGAGGCTGGGTGCCAGTGGCTCACGCCTATAACCCTAGCTTCTCAGGAGGCTGAGATCTGAGGATCATAGTTCAAAGCCAGCTGGGTAGGAAAGCCCATGAGACTCTATCTCTAATAAAAGCACTAGAAAACTGGAATTGGTGCTGTGGCTCAAGTGGTAGATCGCTAGCCTTGAGCTGAAGAGCTGAGGAACAGCACCCAAGCCCAGAGTTCAAGCCCCACGACCAACAAAAAAAAAAAAAAAGAGGAACACAGGGAGTTTGGCAGCGCGCCATGCAGAGATGTAAGTTGGGTGCCCGCTGGGGCAGGAGCCAGGACAGGGAGGATTCAGCATGGAGGCCAACCCCCTGGCCTCCCTGCCCCCACATACTCCTTCAGGGCGCTCTGCCAGGGGGTGCGGGGGAGACCTTCTTTGCCATGAGCTGTCCGAAGCACTGATGGCCACTACTTCCTGCTCTCCTGCAAGGGTGAGGGGGTCCTCAGGGCCCTGGCAGCAGGCGGGGGGGCAGGGTGGGTTGAGCTGGAAGCCCCTGGTCTCCATCCCAGCTGGGCCTGCCAAGAAATTTCCTGCAGCCCCTGGAACCCAGGCCCTGAGCAGCCCCTCCTGAACCCCCACCCCCCCAAGCCTGGCTCTCAGTCATCTGTCCCCCGAGGGCTATCGTCCACAGATGAAGTGAGCTCTTTGTCTGGAAGCGGGGCTGTGGAGGCCTCTGCTGCCTTCCCGGCTTGGCTGTGGCGTGGAGCCCCCGGGGCTGTCACACTCCGGGCAGGAAGCCTTGTGGCTGTGATGGATGCTGCGGAGGCTGGAGCTGGCGCACAGCAAGAGCACCACCCAAGGGGGCCGGGCGGGCACAGGACCGCAGCAGGGGGCCGCCAGCGGGCTGTGTGGCGCACCTGGGGCTCGTGTCGCTCTGAGCCTGCAGGTGCCCATCCCGAGCAAGGCTGCTTCCCCACAGATGGCAGCCAGCCAAGGGCCCTAGGCATCGCCCTCGGCCATCTGTGCCATATTCCCAAGTAGGCCCAGGTTTGAGAGAAGCTTCCGGGAAGTCTGGACTAGCTGCAGGAGGAACAACGTGGCCAAGGCCCAGGTTCTTTCCTTTTTTTTGATGCCAGTCCTGGGGCTTGAACTCAGGGCCTGAGCACTGTCCCTGAGCTGCTTTTGCTCAAGGCTAGCCCTCTACCAACTTGAGCCATTTCCAACTTTTTCTGAGTAGCAGAGATAAGAGTCTCACAGACTTTTCTGCCCAGGCTGGTTTCAAACTGAGATCCTCAGATCTCAGCCTCCCGGGTAACTAAGGATGACAGGTGTGAGCCACAGGCACCCAGCACAAGGCCCCGCGTGGCTTTCATCCACGCAGGCAGTGTAGGTTGTGCCAGGATACTAGTACCCAAGACCTCAGCTGCGGGGATAGGAGGGCCCGAGGCAAGTTGGGAGGTAGGGGGACCCCAGCCTGTGCCCACCAGCAGCCCAAGCTCGAGGTCAGTGACCTTCACATACTCACGTGACCCTCCCGGCCGTGGGTGTCGCAACCACCACCCGCGCCAGAGGCTGGGGCCAAGTTGCTGGAGATTTAATGGCAGCCACAACCCTAACCACACACAGGCAGCAACTCTGCTCCTGGCCAAGAGCCGCACGGGCCTCCCTGAGGGTCCGCAGAGGAGGGGACCGAGGCGCCATGGGGGCTGCTGGGGCAGCATACAAGGCGCAGAGACGGCCCCCAGGAGAGCCACCGCGGTGTGATTTATACCTGACTCCTCCCTCTGCTGACGCCCAGCCAAGGCCTCAGCCCCCCCACCCCCCCGCCATGGAAGTGAAACGAGCTGCATTTCCTGGGGCTCCCCTTTAGTGACTCCAGAAGGCCCCTGCGCAGCCTAAGTAGGAAGTTGGGAGTTAACTGGGGGTGCGGGGGGAGGTCTGTAGAACCTTAGCCCCTGAATGAGCAGACCTCAGGGGTACTCAACTTTACCAGGCTGAGCTTGGGCGGGGCACTGGTTATCTTGGGGTGGGGGAGATAGGAGAAATAAATGGACAGGTCTATGGAAGAAGCTGAGAGTTGAGGAAAAGCATGTGACAGCAAGGGACAGTGGCTGGATCTCCAAGGAGGGAGCCACTGAAGTGCTAAGACCCAGAGAATGAGGTGTCTCGGGCTAGGCACAGGTCCAACAGGAAGCTTCAAGAATATAAAGGTCGCCTGGACAGGCGCTGGGGTCTCACACCCGTAATCCTAGTTACTCAGGAGGCTGAGGCCTGAGGATCCTAGTTCAGAGCCAGGATCCCTGAGACTCATCTCCAGTTCATCACCAAAAAAGCCAGAAGTGGTCTGGTGCCAGTGGCTCATGCCTGTAATCCTAGCTACTCAGAAGGCTGAGATCTGAGGATCACGGTTCAAAGCCAGCCTGAGCAGGAAAGTCCTGAGACTCTTACCTTTCAAAAAACCACCAGATGGGGCTGGGAAGGTGGCTCAGTGGTAGAGCGCTTGCCTTGCATGCCTGAGGCCCTGGCTTCGATTCCTCAGCACCACATAAGCAAAAAGAAAGAAGCCGGAAGTGGCACTGTGGCTCAAGTGGTAGAGCACTAGCCTTGAGCTGAAGAGCTGAGGGACAGCGCCCAGGCCCAGAGTTCAGGCCCCACGACCGGACCCAAAAAAAAAAAACCAAAACATAAAAAAACCAGGAGTGGTGCTGTGGTTCAAGCGGTAGAGAAGTAGCCTTCAGCAAAAGAGCTCAGGGACAGCACCCAGGCTGAGTTCAAACCCTACAACCAGAAGAAAAGAAAGGTGGCCCTCCAGACAAGGCCTGTAACCCCAGGATAATCCCCTGGAAAGTATGGCAGACCTAGCTCTGGTGGCACAGCAATCATCCAGGAGCAACTAGCGCCACCCTTTGAGGGTGCTACCCTCAGCCCCTGTGACCTGTCTGACCTAGGCAGCATCAGAGGCCGGGGAAGGAGGGAAACAGCAACCATCATCAGAGTAAGTGGGGCTTTCTAGAATGCAGACCAGGCCAGCCAAGCTGTGTGCCCAAAATGGCTCCAAACAGGAGCCAGGCATAGCTGGACTCATCTCAGGCCTGTGCAGTAGCCAGGCTCCTAGGAAAGTTGTTTGACCTAGGATCCTGCAGGCTGGGGTGGGTGCACAGGCTAGGCTCCCTAGCTGGCTGCATGGATAGATCCGGGCATCTCCCCGGCCCCCAGGGCCTAGGGCCAGACACTACCTGGGAGCAGCAGCCCCTCACCCTCATCTGCACCTCCATATGGCCCATGACCCAGCTTAGAGCATAGCACAGCCTCTCACCATGAGACATAGAGTCCCCAGCCTTCCCCTCCCGCAGCAGTGTGCAGGTCGGCCTGCTTCTCAGGTTGCACCATGAGACTGAACTTGGCAAGGCGGTGTCATGGGGACTGCCACCAGCTGCCCCCTGGCTGGTGCACTGCCCCCCAGCCTTGTCTGGTGTTCAGACGCTAAGGGGTCCTCAGCGTCCTAGGCAGGCTGGCAAGTGGGCTACTTAGCAGCCCCCTAGGCTTCCTTCCCCAGAACCAGCTAGGCTAATTCTGGCGTTAAGCCCTGGCCCCCACAGAGCCTGTGTGCCCCCCAAAGAGGCTTGAAAGGCTGTCTGTGGTGACATTCACCCCAGAAACGTGGGGCAAAGAGCAGCTTGATTAGCAGCCTGGGCCTGGCCATCCAAGCTACCCTGGAGATGATTCCAGACCCCTGCCCGACTGTGGGCGATACTGCGCCAGCTGGACCTTCACCCCAGAAACCTTTGCTCCCCACAGGGGCTTCCAGGGTGACTAAGCCATTCTGTGGTATACAGGGGTGCCCTTCCCTCGGCTGGGCCCCCTCTTGCCCTATAGGCAGAAAACCCAAAGTGGGGCTACAGTTCTGGGGTGGCATTGGGCCTGAGCCACCACCTCTGCTACTGGGAGACAAGGCTTTTGTCTCCCTAAGGCCCCTGGCCCCACAAACACTAAGTTGGGTGGCCATGGCAAGGGCTGAACCCCTTAAACCGAATGGGAAGACAGAGGGGTCCCAGGGTCCACACTCAGGCCAGAAGGACCATCCTGGGCCCCATGGTGTGTGTCCCTCCTGTGGCTTCTCTGCCTAGCCCTGTGCGGGGGAGGGGGGCCCTAGCCCACCGCAGCCTCGCTGTGACCCCCAGGTGTCTGGTGGCCTGACATGCACCGCCTCGCCGACCGCATCCACTTGGAGGAGCTGACCCGCATCGGCATCCTGAGCGGCAGCGTGGACGCCATGGTCCAGGTCCACCTGGGAGCCGTGTTCATGCCCCACGGGCTCGGCCACTTCCTGGGCCTTGATGTGCACGATGTGGGAGGCTACCCTGAGGTCAGTGTGGGCGTGTCTGCAGAGTGGGGTTTGTGGGAGCACTGGAGGGTTCTTGGGGCAGATACGGGGTACAGTGGAAGCCAGCATTATAGAGCTGCACTGTGTCCCTCAGCGAGTCTGGTCCTTCACGCTCCTCCTGCTCCTGGCTGCGGTGTCCTCTGCCCTGGGCAGCACCTGCAGCTGGCTATGCCCACCACAGCTCCCTTCTGCCCTTCCCACCAGCCCTCAGAACCACCCGGGGGGGGCCTTAGAACCCACCCCCTCCCCAGGCCCTTCTGGGCAGGTAGCTGCACCCCTCCAGGCCCTGTGGCAGAGGGGGGGGGGATGCAGAGCCATTCTCACTGCTTGGCCTGGTGCCCACCGTGCAGGGGGCCGATTGTGCAATCGGCACACACCCTGGGACCCACCAGCCAGTTAGCCAAGACTAGGCTTGGCCTCCTGGCTTCAGGGTATTTTGAAAGCATGAAGAATGATTTTTTTGGGGGGGGGTAGGGCATTGCTCAAGAGAAACATTATTATTCAATTATTTTTTTCCTCAAGTGTAAACAGTTAAATTTGAAGAAACAAAATCAGTTTTAATTTCCTAATTTCTGCCCCTCACCCATGCCATTGTGCAGGAGAGCCAAGAGGCCTCCAGACATTGTTAGCTGACGTTCGGGATTCATTAGTCGCCAAAGCACTTTTTTTTTTTTCCACCAAAGAAAATTGGCAGCAAACTGTTTTCATCTTTTCCAGTAAGCAGCTCTTTGTGCTCAGAGTCTATTCTTCTGACAGATAAACACTGGGGGAAGAAAATATGACTTTTCCTATAAAAGTCATTTGTTTTACTTCAGGCCTACAGACACATCTGGGTCTCCCCCGCTCAGAGCCCAGTAAAAGTTGAGGCATCCTGGAGCTCTCTGTGCAGGCAGGGGCAGGGATGGGTACCCCCAGGAAGGCTGGCATTCCTGGGCCTGTACCTCACTTGGCCCAGCCTTTCTCGTCCTCAGCTCAGCTCTGTGCACGGGGCGGGAGTGCGGGGGGGGGGGGGTCAGCAAGCCTGATCCCCTGTGCACTGGGCCCTGTGGAAGAGGAAGAAAGGCGCCATCTTGGCAGGTTCCTGGCTGACAGCCATGTGTGGAGGAAGGGGATGAGGCCTTTAGGTGCAACATGAAAGGGATAGAGGGCAGGGGCAGGCCGACTGGAACAGAGCCCCAGGAGCTATCTGTGGACAGGAAGCAGATCCTGCCCTTGCCGTGAGCACCTCTCATCCAGGTGCCAGTCACCAGGCTAAACAGGTACCCCTGCCTGCAGAGCCCCCCTGCAGCCCAGCCTCCAGCTCGGCAGCCCAGAGGTGCTCTGAGCGGCCCAGCGTCTGCCCAGTGTGACCCACTAGGGTCCCTTCACTGTGCCCCAGTCTGTTCACACCAGGTCAGAGCGGCTGTCCCCGCCCTGGTGGAGGCTCAGCCCCAGCCTTCCCTCAGAGGCTGAGCCAGCCTGGTTCTGTTACCTTACATGAACCACTAATTGAAGTCTGATGTTCTTGGCCCCCAAACAGTCAGAAGTGACAGCCCCATCTCCCTGCAGCTGGTTTCCTGGGGAGCTGCAAGTGAAGCAGAGCAAGCTCAGATCCTCCCCAGAAAGCTCGCTCGCGGCCCGCTCGCATAGAGGTCCCGGCCGGAGGCCAGAGGGCCGCACGGGGACCCGAGGGAGCAAGGACATGAGTCCTCCACAGGCAGCCCCAGCGCCCGTCTCCCGAGCCCCCCTGCCGGACTGTGCCCACGCGGGCCCTTCGCTGCTGGTGCTGGCAGGCTTGCCCTGGTGGCAGCACTGCTCCCCTTCCTGGAGGCTCACGTGGAAACTCGGGGTGGCCAGGGGTGGGGCCGGGAGCGGCACTGGCACTTCTGCGCCCGGTTTCCACTGCTGGAAGGGAAGATGCGCTCGGGAGGCCCGCAGCCTTCCTAAGAGCTTTTTTGGCTGGCCTTATGTGGCTGCTGCTATTCCTCTGGCCTGGAGAGGGGGCCTCAGCGGGGGCAGCTGCTAGCCCGTGGGCCCACCTGGGCAGCTTGTCCTTGTGCACGGGACCTTAGGGGGCTCTTGAAGGCAGCCCAGAAGTAACCAGCAACTCACAATGCAGAGATAGGTGCAAGCAGATGGGCCTTATCAGAAGGACCTGTGGACAGGTGAGGAGGCATACACCTGTATTCCCAACAACCTGAGAGGCAGAGAACAGGAGGATCACAGTTCAAGGCCATCCTGGGCTAAAAGTTAGTGAAACTCTCCCCCTCCCCCCCCCATCTTGACCAATAAGCTAGATGTGGGTATAATTCCATGTACACAGGAGGTATAGGTAGGAAGATAGCAGTCCAAGGCTAGTTCCAGGCAAAAACATTAGGAGTGTATTTGAACTCAAGAACAAATGGGCTGCACGTGTGGCTTAAGTAATAGGACAGTTGTCTAGCAAGTGTGAAGCCGAGTTCAAACCCGCAGGGTGTGGAGCGCATCGATGAGCCAGGCCTGCGGAGCCTGCGCACTGCACGGCACCTGCAGCCAGGCATGGTGCTCACCGTGGAGCCGGGCATCTATTTCATCGACCACCTTCTGGACCAGGCCCTGGCAGACCCAGCCCAAGCCTGCTTCTTCAACCAGGAGGTCCTGCAGCGCTTTCGCCGTTTTGGAGGGGTGAGTGCCCGTGAGTCCCACATTCTTGCACCCACAGTGCCCTCAACCTGCCTAGCAGCGGAGGGATGATTTCCCCCAGATGTGTGCCACAGTAGGGCGGAACATAAGTCCTGCAGATTCCCTGCCCACCTCACAAGGTCCTGGGTGGGGGGGAGGGCACCGTCCGTCACAAGTGCCTGTCGCTCTGACCCAGGTCCGCATTGAGGAGGACGTTGCTGTGACTGACACTGGCGTGGAGCTGCTCACCTGCGTGCCCCGCACCGTGGAGGAAATCGAAGCATGCATGGCGGGCGCTGACAAAGCCTTGACGCCCTTCAGCTCCAAGTAGAGGCAGCCTAGGGGCCCAGGGAGTCTGAAGCCAAGCCTGGCCTTGTGGCCTCCCAGCCTCCCTCCCTCCAGGCAGCATTCGGGGTTAGCCCTGCACAGGGGGAGACGTGGTACTCAGAAGTCACATCTTGGCATTGTCACGTGATCCTGCCAAATCCTGCCACTTGTTCTGCAAAAACCTACCCTTCATCTCTGTGTGCTCTGTCTAAACGACAACAATTTAAATAACCAATGGAAATGAGTCCTGTTGTTTAGTAGCAATTAAACTTCAGCTTGCTGCCACTTTTATTTCTGTTCTCCGGGAAGATACATTTCCAGTGTTTTCTCTCAAAAATCAATGTGCAGAAAGGAATTTGCAATAAAGTTTTTCAAACATAAAAACAGCCCTCCATGCCTGACTTTTGCTTCATCCTTTTTGCAAATGAGCATGTTGGACCCAGAACCCTGAGATAGGAAAATAGCACTGGGCTGGGCGCCAGTGGCTCACACCTGTAATCCTAGTTACTCAGGAGGCTGAGATCTGAGGATCATGGTTCAAAGCCAGCCCAGGCAGGAAAGTCTGTGAGACAAGTGGCACTTGTGGCTCAAGTGGTAGAGTGCTTGCCTAGAGCTGAAGAGCTCAGGGACAGTGCCCTGGCCAAGAGTTCAGGCCCCATGACTGACAAAAAAGAAAGAAAAGAAAATGGCGCTGGGGGAGTACAGGCTATGCGCCTCTGATTCTGCCTCAGGCTGGCAGGCTGAACAGGGGAGCCTCCCCCAAGCCTGCTTTGAGCTCCAGGGACTCTGCTGGGCTGCAGTGCCACCTCTGCCAGGCTCCCCAAGCAGGCACCAGAAGCACTGGGGCATGAGGGGAAGGCCCCTGGACCACTAGCAAACCAGCAGCCAGACAATGCCTACCTAAAGCAGCCACATGACCAAGAGTGGAAGCCCACTGATGGAACTGCACTCACAACTTAGTGAGTGCCTGGTCTTAGTGCCTGGTCCCAGCCTCAGGTGTCCATTTGTCTCACTGACCCCACCGAACTGCCCATCCCCAGATGGCTTCGGGAATTCTGAGCCAAGGTGAAGGATGAATGGGAGGAAAGGATGTCAGGAATGAAGGCATGATGGGACAGAAAATCAGCCCAAGCTAGTCTTCCTGAGGAGTTATGACCCGAGTTGCTGAGGAAGCTGCACTGAAAGGTCACCAACCTCAGCTGAAGTTTAGACAGCTTCAAAAGTGCATTAGAAGCCGGGTGTCGGGGCTGGGAAGGTGGCTCAGTGGTAGAGTGCTTGCCTTGCATGCATGAGGCCCTGGGTTCAATTCCCCAGCACCACATAAGAAAAAAAAAAGCCGAAAGTGGCGCTGTGGCTCAAGTGGTAGAGCACTAGACTTGAGCTGAAGAGCTGAGGGACAGCACCCAGGCCCAGAGTTCAGACCCCACGACTGTACCCAAAAAAAAAAAAAAAGCCGGGTGTCGGTGGCTCACACTTATAATCCTAGCTACTCAGGAAGCTGAGATCTGAGGATCCCAGTTTAGAGCCAGTGGACAGGAAATTCCCCTTGCAGATTTTTACCTCCAATTAACCACCAGAAAACCAGAAGTGGTGCTATGGTTCAAGTGCTAGAGCACTGGCCTTGAGCTGCAGAGCTCATGGACAGTGCCCAGGCCCAGAGTTCAAGCCCCACAACCGACCAAAAGAAAAAAAAGTTCATTAGAGACCTTCCAGAAGCTACATGGTGCCAGAGCCCCCTCTGGAAGGGCCATGACTAACTCAACATCTACTTCGTACCAGAACAGTGTACCAGAACAACACAATCACCATCTCTGCACTGAGTTCACCCCTCCTAAGGGGCTTCATCAGAAACACCATGCAGAGGTGCACTGTTGGTGAGAAGCACCAGGAAGGGCAGAAACAGGATTGGCCTTGTACAGACAGCTGGGGGGGGGGGGCGCAGTCAGGAAGGGATTGAAGTGAGGAGCAAAACATGGTACATTTGAAACCAAGGACTCCAAAGAAACGGTAGGAGAAATAGTACAGGTAGTTGGCAGGAGGAGCCACATTACAAGATGGGTCTGGCAATTGGCATGCTAGGGAGCTACAACCTGTTCTAGAGGCCATCCTGCTGTCTGGGAAGACCCAGGAGAGGACGGCTCTGCACACTTTCTCCTGCTCCAGAAACGCAGTTAGAAAGGACTTGCAGTCTGAGCTGCAATGGAAGAGGACGCGGTCGGTGTTCTCCTTCAAGTGCCTGTTAAATGTGTATGAACTCTCCAGGTACCTACTGGCAGTGAAAGGGTTCCTCTGACGGTGTTGTTATGAGAAGACCTGAGACCTTCACAATCTATAAAAATTCCCCTTGGGTAAGGTGGCTCACTCCTGTAGTTTCAGCTACTCAGGAGATAAGAGACTGGAAGTAGATCAGGATTTGAGGCCAGCCAGGGCAAAAAACTCTCAAGATGCCTTTTTTTTTTTTTTTTGTCGGTCATGGGTTTTGAACTCTGGGCCTGAGCACTGTCCCTCAGCTCTTCAGCTCAAGGCGAGCACTCTACCACTTGAGCTACAGTGCTACTTCCAGTTTTCTGGTGGTTTATTGGCGATAGGAGTCTCACAGTCTTTCCTGCGCAGGCTGGCTTTGAACCTCGATCCTCAGATCTCAGCCTCCTGAGTAGCTAGGATTATAGGCGTGAGCCACCAGCGCCCGGCTCAAGATGCCATTTTGATCAACAAGGCTGCAACACTGGCGGGTGCCTGTCATCCTAGCTACGCAGGAGGCCATAGGTAATCTTGATACCAAAGCTGGCCAGACAAAAACCCTCACCAGAACCTAATTGAAAAATTAACTAAAAGCAGAAAAAGGACTGTGAGGTATGGCTCCAAGTGGTAGAGTACCTATCTAGCAAGTGCAGTGTACGGAGTCAAATGCCACTACCACCAAAAAAAAAAAAAAATTCTAGAGCTGGGCACTGGTGGTTCACACCTGTAATCCTAGCTACTCAGGAGGCTGAGATCTGAGGATCGAGGTTCAAAGCCAGCCCTGGCAGGAAAGTCCGTGACACTCATCTCCAGTAAACCACTAAAAAACTGGAAGTAGTGCTGTAGCTCAAGCAGTAGAGTGCTTGCCTTGAGCTAAAGAGCGTAGGGGCAGTGCCCAAGCCCAGACTGACAAAAAAAATCTAAAATGAAATGGGATATACTGAGGGGAAAGTAACTGTCCTACAACTTTTTCATGAAAGCGCAATAATTTGTTTCCCCAAACACAAAGCCTCATAGAAGGCAAGTATGGAAATGGCCTTTTCCTCTGAAACACACTTCTCAGATCCATTGTATCAGTGAATTCACCTCTATGAAATAGTATTGGTAGGGGAAAGGCCTTTTGTCTACTTCAAACTTAAGACTGTCTCCATTAAAACTGTCCCCACAACCAGGGCCTCAGACCTAGAATTCTAGATACTCAAGAGGCTGGGATGTGAGGATGATGGTTTGAAGCCAGCCTGGGCAGGAAACTCTTATCTCCAATTAGCCTCCTGAAACCAGAAGTGGAGCTGTGGCTCAAAGTGGCAAAGCACAAGCCTTGAGCAAACACGCTCAGGGACAGCGCCCAGGCCCTGAGTTCAAGCCCCATGACCAACCCAAACAAAAAAAAACCATCCCCACGGTCAAAAGAGACCAATACTGAGATGCTAGGTAATTAGGCAGAACCCATGGATCCCTTCTCTGGGGTAGAATGCATTCTACTAAGACTATAACTAAAGATGTGCTCTACAGAAAGCCAGTTCTCACCACTGAAGGGAAAGGCAGGTTGGGGCCAGAACAGCCAGGCGCCGCAGGCCCCTCCCAGGTCCTTGTACAAACTGCTTTTTTGTGTCTAATAGAAAGAAACCCACAGTGAAATAGTCATTGTTCAAAGGCTTTTTTTTTATTTTTAAATTCGTTGAAAGAAATAAAATTATATTTAAAAAAATAGAGTAATCTCACAAACTGAAAACCAGGGACAAAAAGAACAAGCGAGTACTTTTTCCTGAGAGGCAGATGTGTCTGGTGGAATTAACTATCTTGTGAACTTGTTCTTCACTAGCATGTCAACAAGAACAGAACCATTTCTCCTATTTCTAAGGCATCAGAAAGCACTGGGAGGGAGTGCTAACTTGGGTGTTTGGGTACAAAGTTCCAGCCCTCTAGTAGGTGTTAAGAAATATCCATACAATCCCCTTCATGTCCAATTGTTGATGTTGACGGTTGACAGAAACTTCAGAATCGCACACTCATGACCTCAATTTCCAACATCTGGTCATATTTTGGGAAAATCTTGCTACTACTTAGTAAAAATGTCCCAGATATCTGGAGCTGGCACCCTAGTCGCTTCAAGGAGCCAGGCCAGGGAGAGGGGCTCTGACCTCAGGATAAGAGACCCCAGCCAGTGAGCACCTCTCCCAGGAGATTCACACACACAGCTCTAAGCTTCCACACTACAGCTTCCCTCCGCCTCTGAGCGGGCCACAGAACAGAGCCAATGCTAACAGTCCAAAAGTTACAAATGTCACCTTGCAGTTCCTAAAACTCACCCCCCTCCCCACTCCTGCTTTCCCCCAACGTTACACTGACCAATCTACCAGACTAACAACTTTCCCCTAAGATGGTCAAGAGCTGGCTAACATCCCTGTCCTATGCACCATTACTGGCTTGTGCTAATGTGAAAGGAAAGCTTGAACTGATCTTCCTACAAGCTCCAATCTTCTCTCCTGAGCACACTCTCACACACACACTTCCTCCAATATACTTCATTTTCATGCCTGGTTAATCCCATGAAGGCATCCATTTCAGGAAGCTATTGGGGAGGGGGGAGATAAGAAATTAAAATGTCCATTAACACCTATTATAGGTGTTTAAACATTCAAGGGGCCTAACTGCATCTCCAATTAAGCTAATGATAGAACATCCCTCAGCAGTTAAAAGATTCAGGAGGATTCTGTGGGTTCATCCTGGCTAAATTATTCAAAACATCTATCAACTTTATGAGCAGATCAATATTCTAGCTGAAGTAAACAAACTGGTATTGGGTCCTAATTTAATAAAAAACAAGTTTAAAAAAAAAGCCACAGAGCCTGCTGGCTGGTTGTTGGGTGGTTAACAGCCTTCCTGGGAAGTGTCACAAGGAACAATGCTGGGCTTGCCCAAGGTGTTGGCTTTGGCGAGCTGCGAGCGCGACACGACAGGAGAGTGGCAGTCAGAAGTCTCCCACCAAAGCCAGGGGCCAGTCCACTTCCCTGCTGGTTCCATTGCCTCAAGTCCAACGTGGAGAACAGCAGAGCAGCCAGAAATGACCAGGTTCAAGTGAGGTGCTGGTAACCCAGACTCTAGTCACATAGGACTCGTGTCTAGTCACTTAATACACCGAAGCCAACAAATGGGAGTTAGAATTTTGCTTTAAAAAAAAAAAAAAGGAAAAAAGTTGAGAGAATCTATAAACTATCAACATGAAATAAGGCAGACTCTAGAGATGCCCTTACAATAATAACTGACATATTTTAAGTCAACAAAAATGTCAATATCCTGAGTGTTACCAATATTTTCTTTTGAAAATAATTTATGGAACATAAAAACACCCAAGTGGATAAACAGAGGCAGGGTATATCGAATCTAGAAGAAAAGCCTACTAACTAGAAAAAGAAACTGTCACAATATAAACAATATAAAAAGACATTTTTAAGGGAAATAAATTAAAGGCTAAAACCTTGGACTTTCAAGTTTTCTTAAGAGTATTCTTTTGGCCGGGCGCTGGTGGCTCACGCCTGTAGTCCTAGCTACTCAGGAGGCTGAGATCTGAGGATCACGGTTCAAAGCCAGCCCGGGCAGGAGAGACTGTGAGACTCCTATCTCCAATAAACCACCAGAAAACCGGAAGTGGTGCTATAGCTCAAGTGGTAGAGCGCTCGCCTTGAGCTGAAGAGCTGAGGGACAGCGCCCAGGCCCAGAGTTCAAGCCCCCCAACCGACAAAAAAAAGGAGTATTCTTTTGGGATGGGACAAGGTTGATACATTTTTCAAATCATTTGGTTACAACCAAATGTTTCTTTACCAGATATATTTTGTCTTTAAATAAAAAATCGTGCTTGTTTCTTCACCAGAAAATTTTTTACTTTAAAAACTGCGGCCCAGGTGCCCAAGGCTCGCACCTGTAATCCTAGCTACTCGGAGGCTGAGATTTGAAGATCAAGGTTCAAAGCCAGCCTGGGCAGGAAAGTCCTTATCTCCAATGAGCTACTAGGAAACCAGAAATGGCATTGTGGCTCAAGTGGCAGAGCATCAGCCTTGAGCAAAGCAGCTCAGGGACAGCACCTGGGCCCTGAGTTCAAGCCCCAGGACTAGCACGCACACACACACACACATAAAAATTGTGGCCCTAGGCAGTTATTTTGCACAGGGAAGAAACTACCAGCTGCACTAGTATTCCCAATCCTAATCAGTAGCTTATGCCACCAAGCTGCTAAATCACTTTATTTACTAACTTGGCTGTCAAAATGGATTCTGAAACTTAAAAAAAAAAAAAAAAGCTTCACTAGCAATTACAGAAGCTTAAAATTTTGGGACACAAGTGGGGATATATCTATATATATGTCTATATGTAGACATATAGATATATATATATATATAACATCCATCACAAAACTATGTCATCCAGTAACCCAAAGGTATCCCAAAAGCATGATTCTAATGTGTCTTTTATTTTTTAAGTCTCTCTGCTTCCTAAGTGTTCTATTTTTACGGTGTGATGTGGCTTCTTTATGTAAGCTAACATCACAGTTCAGAAACTTACTACAGTGGGGGCAGAGGAAGGGAAGGGATGGGACAGTATTAATTATACTAAAACAAGGTGTATGCTATACATAAAATTGTGCCCAATTACAAACTGTTTAGTTTCTATAGTCCCAGGATTGTAATAGACAATTTAATCACAAATAGATTAACATAGATGGCAATTTCACTTAACCCAATTGATCTTTTCTGCTAAAACCGAGAGCTGCCTGCACGATCTGCCAATTTTCCATTCTTTCTGTCAACCTAAAAGAAGCCTATTTCTGACAAAGTCAAGACTCAAGAACATCAAGGTCCAGGATATTTTGTGTTAACCATACACCTTAGCATTCTTCTGACCCCCACATTTTAAGATCGATATGTAAATTCCCTGGCTAATCGACTCTTTAGTGGTGATCCTAGAAAACAACCTCCAATGGATGGTTGAATAGAGAAGGCTCGACACCACTCAGCCATTTGAGGGGTGCACATGGTCGCCCCTTTAACCCCCAAGTTGTCAAGTCTGCAGAGAATGAGGTCTACTGTCCTGTGCTCTCCGAATTTGTCGTGGTCGTTTCGGTGCTAAGGGGTTGCACGTTGTCTGCAAGGTTGTGCGCATGCTCCAGAAACAAGTCTTTCAGTACACTTAATTCCTTTGTGAGCAGTTTAATTTTGGCTTCCAAGCGTTCGTTCTCTTCTTTGAGCTGGTTCACCCTCTGCAGGGTATCTTGAGCTTTCTGCTTGCTTTTCAAGCGGCTCTTTTTAACAGCCATGTTGTTCCGCTCTCGGCGCTGCCGGTATTCGTCGCTATTCCGATCCATGGGGGAACTCTTTTTGCTTTGCTTGCTGGCGGACACAGCTTTACCTCCTCCCCCGGGGCCAGCAGGCACCAGCTGAGGGACCTGCTGCAAGCCACTGGCATGGGCCTGGGTATGAATGACACTGACCCCGTTCACTCCTGCGGCACTGTTTGGCTGTGATATCTTGCTCATTTGGACACTCTCCCTTGCCAACGCGGGGGGGACAGGTAGAAATGAGCACAAGGCGATCAATAGGGTTGCCACGCTAAGCTGCCCCCAAAATCTCCAGGTGTATCTAGTTAAAAAAGAAATGGAATTAAAATACTTCGAATGGCAGGCTTGAATGAAATTAAACTTGCATGGCCCCCCTGCGGCAGGCCACATACACTGCTGACGCTGAGACAAGTCTAGAGCCAACGGTCCCAACACTTCCGAAGTCTGAAGCTTTCCAGTTACAGGTAAGCTGGTACAGAGGCACCCTAAGCGGAGCCCAGCCCACCTGAACCCCCCAAGGGCTTTGCCCATCTGTGATCGATGGTTATCAAGACAGGGAGAGAAAAAAACAAAAGAAGACACTAATTAGGGTAGCTCCTATGAATCGGCAGCACTTGACAATCTGCCAGGGAGATATTTGAGGTGTTTGGTTAATTATGGTTAGGAGACACCTGCAACCAAAGGGAAAAACCGTCTTTAACTACAGGTCGAGTCAAACTACTCCAGGAGGAATAGGATGCTGTGGCGCCCACGCTCCCAATTCAGACAGAAACTGGAGTCAGCCAGGATTAACTCTTGGCCAGCATCCTTTATGGGGTATTTTTGAAAAGGTTTTGGCTTGCTGAGCTTTCTCAAAGTTTCCAAGTGAGTTTCTTGGACAGAGGCACTCAGAGACACCTGGTAAGGTTCCCCCTTGCTTCTCATTCTGTTTATCCTTGATATAATTCCTGAAACATATAGAAATCTGAAATCACAAAGAAAGGAAGTCCAAGTGCCTGGGATTCAGGGGCAGGGCAGCGAGTGCTGCTGCCTATGGAAATGGAAGCTCCTGCCTGTCAGCCTAGCTATTCCGGAGGCTGAGATCTTAAAGATCACTATTCAAAGCCAGCCCAGGCAGGAAAGTCCATGAGACTCTTTACCTCTAATTAACAACAAAAAAGCCAGAAGTGGAGCTGTGGCTCAAGTGGTAGAGGGCCAGCCTTGAGCACAAAAGCTCAGGGACAATGCTCAGGCCAACTTCAAGGATCAGGAAAAAAGAAAAAAAAAAGAAATGAAAGTACTAGACTAGGTTCAACTATGGAAATGGATTAAAACCACAAAATGATCCTTTTCACAAAACAGCTACAACTAAATCAATAGGAAAACTCTGGAGTGCATCCCATAATCATTTCAGAAAAGTTCACTTAGTAAACACCCATAGCTTTGACCAAACTTGAGCCAGGCACTGCTATAAACACTGTTATTAGTCTTCTCTTTTTCAAGTCTGCTTTTTCAAGACTATATATCATTACTATGAGTTGTTTTAAAAGCCACTCGGCCAGCCCAGAGCTAGTGGTTCATCTGTTCCCACTCCAGTACTAAGGCAAGACAGAGAGCTTCCCTCCAAACCATGATGGATTTCTACTCCAAGTCTTTGCTCAGTAATGGGCTTTTCACAATTTCCCCTGAAAATCTATGAGGTTGCCTCATTTTGCTTCTACTTATAGAGTTGCCATTCACTACTACTGAGACACTAGTGCTTACTTCTTTGTGTAAATTCAGTGTTTTACCCAATTAAAAAAAAAAAACTTGTTTTAATACTTCTCCTGGAACTGTCTTTGCAACTGCAATCGTATTCATTTTAATTATCTACTTAAAAACTTTTTATATACCGATTATTTTCTTACTCTCTAATCTCTATAGCAAATGTAGCCAAGCTCAGAGTAGACAAGAAAAGCAGGTCAACTCTGATCTCGGCTCTGCCTCCCTGGGGACTTCAAGGTCCCCCTGCTGCACACAAGGGAAATATGTGGAAATGGTTGACTACAGGCCACAAACTCAGCCTCTGACTTTAGTCATTAGAGACTCCAAATTCAGCGATGGTCATGCCTACTTTTGAACCAAAGCTACAGGAATGGGAAGGGGTTCCTCTATCTCTGTCTGACTCATCCTGCCAAGGTAAGGGGCTGGGAATGTGGCTTAGTGGTAGAGTGCCTGACTAGCATGCATGAAGCCCTGGGTTCAATTCCTCCTAACACACAAATAGAAAAGGCTGGAAATGACACTGTGGCTCAAGTGTTAGAGCATTCGCCTTGAGCTGAAGAGCTGAGGGAGACACTCAGGCCCAGAGTTCAAGCCCCACGACCAAAAAAAAAAAAAAAAAAAATCTTCAAGAAAGTTGTTAAATATTTCTTTGTATGTCCCTCCCCCACTGTATAACCCCTGTATTTCACTGTATTTGATGCCAGTATAATTTGTGGAGGGGAAGGGAAACAACAAATTGTTTAAATAGGGATACAGGTGGACCCATTGCAACAGTGAGATGTACAAGTCGTTATGTCGAAAACAAACTTTATAACTTTGGTGGGGGGGGGGGAGGATTGGGTCAGGGGACGGAGGGAGGATGGGAAGGAATGGGAAGGGATGGGAAGGGGAAACAAAGGAGGAGGCTACAATGCTTGATAAGAAATGTACTCATTACCTTGCCCTTGTAATTGTACCCCTCTGTACGGTATTTTCACAATAAAAATAAATTAATTAATTAAAAATAAATTTTTAAAAAATTGTTAAAGTGAAGAAAAAATGAACCAAGCCGGGTGCTGGTAATACCTGTAATCCTAGCTACTCAGGAAACTTGAGATCTGAAGATTGCAGTTCAAAGCCAACCCAGACAGGAACATACTTGAGGCTCTTATCTCCAATCAACCACATGAAAACCAAAAGTGGTACTGTATAGCTTAAGTGGTACTATGGCTCAAGTGGTAGAGCTCTAGCCTTGAACTGAAGAGCACAGCGACAGCACCCAGGCCCAGAGTTTAAGCCCCATGACTGATACCCTCCCAAAAAAAAGAACCAAGTAACAGATCAAAGAGGAAAATAAAGGAGTACTTTACATAGAGAATGAACAAAAACTATGGCATTATACTTTTGTTCCTTCCACATTTACTGAGCACCTACAACAGACTAATAAAGGAAGTTTATTTCAAATCTGGCTAGTTAAAACTTAATACAGGTCTGGCTCCTTGTGGACCAACCCTGATCCGAAGTTCAGGGTACAGGAAGTGGGGTGGTGCCCATTTCCTTGCAAGTGACCACTGCACTCCAGGAGGATAGGAAAGCTAAGGAGCACATCTCAAAGAGTGGTCCCCAACAAGTATCCTTAGGAAGCAGCAGCATCCTTAGGAACCTTGCACAGATGGAAATCTAGCAGGTTCATCCTGGGGAAGAGCTAATGGGCCTTGTATAATGAAATTGGCAACACTGAAGTGTGAGAGCGAGCTAAGCAGGTTACAGGTGGCTCACACCTGTAATCCTAGCAACTCAGGAGGCTGCGATCTGAGGACTGAGGTTCAAAGCCAGCCCTGGAAAGAAAATCTGTGAGACTCTAATCGCCAACTAACCACTAACAAGTCAGAAGTGGAGCTGTGGCTCAAGTGGTAGAGCAACAGCTTTAGGCAGAAAAAGTTTCAGTGACAGCGCCCAGGATGAGTTCGAGGTCTAGTAACAGCACAAATGTATAAAAGAATGTCGAGCTAAATGAGTAACACATTTCTTCTGATTCAGATTTCTTAATTTGAGTCATGTTCATTCAAATCAGTTAATACAATGAAAGCTTGGAATGTTAGAATGAGAAAAATAAAACTGAATTTTTCTCCATCTTCTCTTGGGGGAAAAAAAAAAAGTCAAGAACTTCCCTAGCCCTTTTTGTCACTTGTTTTCTTCATATGCTTAGAACCTGTTGCTCCCTCCTTTTCCCCTGAAAATAAGTGTTCTCCTCCATTCCTTTTAACTCTTTACAATCTGTTCAATCATTGGCAAGTCTGACTATTGTTCCTAAGACAAAGGGAAACAGAAGAAAACACCTCCATCTCCCATTCCCCTTCATTCCAGTGCCACACAAATTACCTCAGGCTGACATCATCTCTCAGGGGAACCAGTCTCTAGCTGAGCCTAGTTCCTTAAAGCCGTGGAACACTCCAACCTCCCTGAGTCACACCCTCCCCCTGACAAGTGGTCTGTGCCTCCAGCCTCCAGGACTTACACGAAAGGTCCTGACCCTCCAGTGCAGGATCCCTTGTGCTGGTCACCGCAATGCTTGACCACTTGCAGCCCGGGGCTACCCCAGCACTGTCGTGGCCTCCACCTCTACTGCATCTCCCTGCAGACTCAGCTGGGGGCAGGGCTCAGTTCACCTTCACTTGCCCAGCAGCTAGGGCAGGGTCCAAGAAAGAGTTTGAGAAGAAAAAGTAGCTGGAATCTGATGGCTCACGTCTTTAACCTTAGCTACTTAGGAGGCTGAGATCTGAGGATAAGTTCCAAGCCAGCCTGGGCAAGAAAGTCTATAGACTTCTCTCCAATGAACCACCAAAGAGCTGGAAGTGGAGCTGTGGCTCAACTCGTACAGTGCTCAGGAACAACAACACTAAGGCCCTGAGTTCAAGCCCCAGAACCAACACCCCCCCCAAAAAAAAGGAAGAAGAAAACACATATATATTTATTGTCTTTTAAACCTATCTAGAGTATGAGATGCAACATTCAAACAGAATAATATACACTATCTTTTTTCTTTTTTACTGTTAGAGCTGGGCAGCCAGAAAAGAAGGCAATCAGTGCACCTATCAGCACAAGAACCCATGCAGACACCCCTCCCAAGGATAAACCTAGAATTGTGGCTACCTAGAGTTATCATTACTGTGGCCACTTCTCAAAGACAAAGCAACTTCAGACCATAATCAGCCCCACAAGGTCTTACGTGTTTTTCTCAGGGGGCTACCAAGAGCTGTTTATTCCCCAAGGATGAAGCCATCTCTCCAAGATCACATAGCCTTTTTGACAAATACAACATACTCCTGAAATTTTAATTTTAACAATGAAGTTTTGTATTTAAATTTTTGTTGATATTTCAATTAAATTTTATAAGTGAAGTTTTGCTTGGGGGGGGGGAGTGTACTGGGCTTGAACTGGCACTCTACCATTTGAGCCACACCTCTGCTTCTGGTTCTTTGGTGGTTTATCTCAGAGAAAATCTGACTTTGCAACCCACAGATCTCAGCCTCCAGAGCAGCTAGGATTACAGGCATGCACCACCAGTACCCAGATCCCACCTTTTTTTTTTTTTTAAGGCTGCCACTAAACTGAACCAGGCAAGTAAGAAATAAGACGCTGAAATCTTCAGCATCCCATAATTAGTTATCCTTGTTTATGAGTTTTTCCAGAGACAGAGACTACCCTGAAGAATAATTAGCTTACCTAAATACTATTCAAGTCATAATACCTAACCAGTTCTTTAATATCAAGAACTTGGACATGCAGAATTTCAAGAAAATCAGCTTACAGTATCTTACTTGAAAATTTTCTTGCAGGGTTGCGCTGCTTTGAGACAGATCTACATAAAATGATTGATATACTCAAATAAGGATTCAAGTGTGTGCAGCCTGAGTCAGAACTCGCAATTTTTTTTTCTGTAGCCCATCAACTCTATGAAAAACCTTTCCAAGAGGAATACAAGTTAAGATGTAGGTTCTCAGGAAAGAAAGAAGGAAAGAAAGGAGAGAAAATGAAAGAGAAAGAAGAAAAGGAAAGAAAAAGAAAAGGAAAGAGAAAGAAGGAACGAAAAAGGGAGCGAAGGAGGAAGAGGGAGGGAAGGATAGAGGGAGGGAAGGAAAGGAAGAAAGGAAGGATGGATCTAGCAAAAGGTAAACCCATCAACCTTCTGAAAAGCAGAAACACAATCGTGCTTACTTGGGGGGCGGGGAGGAAGCATCCTTTCCTCTTTCCCCCTGACACCTGTGTGCTGAGCTACTTTCTGAGGGCTCCCACCAACCTTCCCCCTCTACACCCATTGCTTGCTCTCTGCTCTATTTCCCTTCAACTCTGCTGCCTGCACTACGCTACGTCTATATATAGTGACCTGCAGGAGATGCAAATATCTCCAAAGACCAGCCAAAAATTAAAAAAAAAATAAGCATAATCCTGGGAAAAACAATATAACCGCATAATAAAATAAAACAAATGGCTACACACCATTCTCTTCCACTCAGCCAGCCCAGCTGTGGTTGGAAGCGACAGGAAATGTCCTGTGTGGCATGAAACGAAAAGATATGGTCCACCTTCTGCTATTCTGGGCACAGCTCTGCATCCCCAGGGGCCAATACGCGCCTGGCTGGTCACCCTGCGCGTTTGGAGGGCAGGGGGGTGGGGAGAAGGGGAGACACCTCGTCCCCTCCCCGCGGGGCGGGGGGTGGAGAGCGGGGGTCCAGGATGGCGCCCGGGCGCGGGGCCCCGGCCAGCGATGAGCTCAGCCCGTCGGTGTCGGGTGTTGCCGGCAGGTTGCATCAGACGTCGAAGTCGGTGTGGGGGGGGGGGGTATCCCGAGTCGGGAACCATCCGAGGCCTTCCCGGCCCAGTGAGCCACCGACACCCGGGCTAGGTCTCTCCTTGGGCCGGGCTCGCGCCCACGCAAGCGGCCGGCTTCACTTGCGGCCTCCACCCCGCCTCCTCCTCTGGGTGGTGACCGCCCCGCGGCTTCCTTACCTGGGTTTCCAGCCCGCCCGCCCGCCCTCAGGCGGTCTCTGCTCTAAGCGAGGGCCCCGAGTGGCCACAGGCTCGACTCCGACCCAGGCCTAAAAGCCCCGCGAGTCAGCCCCGAGGAGCGACGGTTACGAAACCGGCTGCCTCCGCCCGTTCCGCCGCCGCCGCCGCCGCCACGGCCACCGGTTTCCCTCTCTCCCCCCCCACCCCCTCCACCTCCCCTCGCCACCACCTCACCCCACTCCCTCCCCGCCGGAGGGGAGGAGCCGCGCGCGCCGCCGCCGCCGCCATAACCAATAGGAATGCCGGATTATGAGTGACGTGTGCGCCTCTCGAAACAGGCAGCGCTTCCAGCCAATGATCAGCTGGTTCACTGAGGGAGGCGGGCCTGAGGCGGGGCGTGGTCGGCGGGTGTGGTGGGTGCGGCGGGGAAAACAGGCCTGTGGTGGCTGCTGGGTGTGTGGGGGGGGGGGGGGGGGTTCTTCGGTTGTGGTTGTCCAGGAGGTGATGGCGGCGGCTCTGAAGTTGTGTGGGTGACCGTGAGGAGAAAAGACTTGTCGGAGAGTTGAAGAAACTGGCCTCCTGGGAGGACCACACCTGCTCACAAGTATTTCCCGGGGGGGGGACTTCTTTAGTTGGCCGCCGTCCTTGGGAAGCCCCTCCCCCGCTATGCACCCCGCGTTGACTTTCGGGGGGGACGTCTCCCTGCATCCGCCTTCCGGGGAGCAATCGGGCTGTCCGGAGCCCCTTGCTCTCCTGCCTTTATGATGGACGCTTATGCCCTGGAAACATTGGAAAACACAAGAAAAAGAGAGGTGAGGGGGAGAGAGAGAGAAAAGAACAGAAAACCTTTTCTCCAAGCCCGGCCTGGTGGCCCACGCCTGTCATCCTAGCTGAGACCTGAGGGTCACGGTTCAAAGCCAGCCCAAGAAGGAAAGGCTGTGAGACTCTTATCTCCATGGAACCGGCAAAAAGCCAGAAGTAGAGGTGTGGCTCAAGTGGTAGAACACCAGCCTGGAGTGAAAAAGCTCAGGGACAGCGCCAAGCCCCAGACCTGGCCACAAAAAAAAAGGAAAGAAGAGCTTTATCCTATAGGATGAAGACAGGTGTCACCACCTGAGAGCCACAAGCTCCAGCCCAAAAAGTCTTTTAAAAATGAGTAGACAGTGCCTGGAGTAGAGGGCAGTACTCCGCTGCCCACCCAATGGGTTGAATGACTTTCCTCTGGAGCAATGCTGATCGTTCAGAAAATAGACATGTTAAAAGAGGAAAAAAGGTCGTTTTAAAAGGGGTCAGATCTCTGTGTTAAAACTGTTTAGAGGGATCACTAAGAAATGATCAAGTAGTAGAGAAAGGGGGGAAGGAAGGAAAAAAGAGGGAAGGAAAGGAAGGAGGTAAAAAAGGGAGGGAGGGATAAAGAGAAGGAGAAAGCCAGGAAGATGGCAACAAAAAGATGCACATCCTCTCCACCCCTTGGAGAATAGCCCAATGTCATTAACCTTTGACTTTAAATCTAAAAAAAAGCCAGAAGTGGAACTGTGGCTCAAGTGGTAGGATGCCATTTTTGAACAAAGCTAAGGGACAGCACCCAGGCCTGGAGTTTAAGCCCCAGTACAAGCACTTGCACACAAATGCATGCACTCACACAGATTTAGCACTATTCAAATTGGATCGTTCTGTTGGTCACAAAGCTTTGATTGTCCCCTAACATTTCCTAGTCACCTAAGGCTGACACAGGGAAAGAAAACCTTGTATATAGGTCTGTCCTGTTGGCTTCTGATGTGCTGAGCACTGGCCAGGCTGCTCCAACAGTGAGGTAGTGGTATGTCTGGGCACGCCTTCCACACCCAGAAAATCTAGTCAACAGTGTGTGTGTATGGGGGGGGAACCCCAGTGTTTCCTCTTCAGCTAATAGCTGGCCATTCTTAGTTTGCAAGTATTTATTTGGTGCTCAGCTGGAATTTAGTGATGAAGAGAAGAAACATAGTCCTAGCCTACATGGAACATACAGGTAGAATGCAGAAGACAGGCATTTAGCAATTACCATTTTCCCCTACCATTTATAGAAGACTAGATGCTGGGAAAAGATTGTAAGAAGTGAGGGGGCGGGGGGGG